AGGAAGGATCCGTAGTTGGAAAATATGGCCTTGGTGATAGATATGATGCTGGAGATTGCATGATAGAATTTGCAAGACCAATGACTTATTGAGTGCAAATACCTTTTTTCAACAACTAAAGAAAAGCAACAATACTGGTGGACCTCACTAGACGGAGTACACAGGAATCAAATTGACGACATCTGTGGGAAGAGACAAATGATTAATATCAACCAAAACAAGGCAAGAGGTTGACTCCAACAGACCATCAATTGCTCTTATTCAAGTTCAGACTGAAGCTGAAGAAAATGAAAACAAGTCCACAGGAGACAAAAATATGACCTTGAGTATAACTCACCTGAATTTAGAGAATATCTTAAGAAAAGATTTGATGTAGACACTAATTTCTGAAGACCAGAAGATTTGTGGGATGACATCACGAACATAATACATGGAGAAAGTAAAGATCATTTTTAAAATACAAGAGTGAAAGAAAAGATCAAAATGGATGTCAGACGAAATTCTGAAACTTGCTCTTAAGCATAGAGAAGCTAAAGCAACTAGGAGAAATGGAGAAGAAAGAAATAACTCTGAACAAGAGATTCAAAGGGCAGGTCAAGAAGACAAAGTGAAGTACTATAATGAAAATGTGCCAAGATGTGGCATTAGAAAACCAAAGAGGAAGAACACACTCAGCGTTTCTCATGCTGAAAGAACTGAAGAAAAAATTCAAGTATCAAGTTGTCATATTGAAGAATTCTAAGGGCAAAATATTGAATAATGCAGAAAGCATCAAAAGAAAATAGAAGCAATACACAGAATCGCTGTATCAAAAAGAACTTGATGTTCAACTATTTTAAGAGGTAACATATGATCAAAAACAGATAGTATTGAAGGAAGAAGCCCAAACTGCATTGAAGGCAATGGCAAAATCTTACGGTCAGGTGGCATTAATGATAGTGCTCGAGAATTTTCAGATTCCACTGGGTCACCTTTCTTTGGAATGAGCACAAACATGGATCTCTTCCAATCAGTTCACCAGGTAGCTGTTTTCCAAATTTCTTGGCATAGATGAGTGAGTACCTTCACTACAGTTTGTTGATTTTGATTTCTATTACATCAACTCCTGGATCCTTGTTTTCTTCCAATGTTCTCAATACAGCTTGGACTTCGTCCTTAAAATTCCATCAGTTCTTGATCATAGGATACCTCTTGAAATGACTGAACATCAACATACTCTTTTTGGTACAGTGACTCTAGAGTATTCCTTCCATCTTCTTTTGATGCTTTCTGCATCTTTCAATATAATGCCCATGTTGTTTTTGTTGTTAAGTGCCATCAAGTATATTCTGAGTCATAGTGTTTTCAAGGAACAGTTGGTAGGTGTGAACCTCCAACCTTGTGGCTTGCAGTCCAGTACTTTCTTAAAGCACCACATCAGGAGCCCATTTTGTTTATACAATCTTTCAGCATTGCAATCTTCAATAGCCACTATTGTTGTTCAGTGCTGTCGAGTCAGTTTTGACTTAGAATGACTCTGTATGGCATTTCCATGGAACAGCTGGTGGGTTTGAACTTCTGGCCTTGCAGTTAACAGTCCAAGACCCCATTCTGTCATTCTTAAGTGCTGTCAAGTTGGTTCAGAATCATAGCAACCCTGCACAGGGTTTCCGAGGAGCATCTGGTGAGTTTGAACTGCTGATCTTGTGGTTCAAACTGACCTAGTGGTCCAATACATTGTCCTGCAACATGACATCAGGACTCCAGGACCCCATTAGAGAGACAGAAATCAAAACAACAATGAAATAATATCTCACAGAATTAATAGTAAAGTTAAAAAATAAAATAGCAAACAACAAATGCTGACAAGGATGTAGAGATTAGGACCTTCGTACACTGCTGGTGTGGCGCTGTGGGTTAATGTGCCAGACTGCAAAGCCATTTGAACTGCAAAGTCGGCAGTACAAGTTCACCAGCTGCTCCTCAGAAACCCCTATACAGGGTCACTATGGGTCAGAACCAACTCAATGACACTTCACAACAACAACAACACTACTGGTGGAACTGCAAAATGGTGCAACCACTGTGGAAAATGATATGGCACTTCCTCAAAAAATTGGAAATAGAAATACCGTATCATCCAGCAACCCCTGCATGTAGTATATATCCTAGAGAAATAAGAGTCATAACATGAATAGAAATATGTATAACACCATGTACATCATAGCACTATTCACAATAGCAAAAAGATAGAAGCAACCAAAATGCTCATCAAAGGATAAGCAAACTTTGGCACATAAACACAATGGGATACTATGCAATGTTTAAGAATAATGATGAACCTGTGAAACACCTCATAACATGGATGAATCTGGAGGACATTTTTGTTGTGAAGTGCCATCTGGTCATTTCTGACTCACAAATGACCCTGTATAGGGTTTCTGAGGAGCAGCTTGTGAGTTTTTAACAGCCAGCCTTGAGGTTCAAACTGACCTTGTGGCACAGTTCTTATCCAATAATGCCTTGTAGTCACATTATGTTGAGTAATTAAAGGACAAATATTGTATGAGACCAATTAAAAAATTCAAGAAAGAGTTTTCACACTAAAGGAAGCATTCTTTCCTGTTTATCAGAGATGTGAAAGAAGATGGAATAATTCACTATCTATAGGGCAGACATGTGTTAACTTGGGTGATGGGAAGGCAATATACAAGAGGAAGGTTGGCAAAAGAATGATGAAGGCAAGGAAAGAAACAAGGCAGAGTGCAAGAGTTAAACGGAATAGAGGTAAAAACTGTTGTATATACAATCCTACAATTACAGTGATGTACATGTAGATAACTGGATAAAAACAAAGGCTGAATGGGTATGTGTGGGAGCGTCGGAGTATACTCACAAATATATAAAGGTTTGACAGAGGATATTTGTACATGGGTATTTACCTTTGCTGCAAACATATCTATGAATATCATATACACAGGCAAAGTTACCAAAGCTTCTTAGATATTAACAAATACCTTGAAGGAGGCATAACACAGTCCACAAAGACAATTCTATTTTGGTGAGTAGTGACAGGATCTTAAAAACTCATGAGTGTCCCTATAAGATGCAACTATTGGTCTCTCCCTGTCCGGAAGCAAAGAGTGAAGAAAAGACTGAAGACACTTGGAAAAAATTAGTCCAACAGACTAATGGACCATGTGAACATCAGTCTCCATGATTGAGACCAGAAGAACTAGATGATGCCTAGCTACTATTACCAATTGCTCTGAAAGGGATCACATTAGAAGGTTCTGGAAGAGTAGGAGAAAATGTGGGAGGAAACGGAAAAAAACAAAGCAAGGTTTACTAATCATAGAGACTGCTGGAACCCCAAGATTATGTCCCTTAGTCACCTTCAGGTCTGAAACTGAACTCATCCTCATGACTCCATTGTCAGCCAAGCAATAGATGGGTTTAAAGTGGGGACAACAACATATGTAAGGTATGCCCCTTATAGAATGGGCAAATAATTGAGATAAAAAGGGAAGCACTGACCCAAGGATAAAACTCAGAAATGTGGGGTAAGAAGGAGGAATGGAAATAAGAACCACAAGGAGGAAAGAGGATACGTGACATTATACTGAGGGACCGTAATCATTGAGATGAAGCAAAGTATAGGAATTGTGGAATGTAAAGCTGAAGATCTGCTTTATAAGCCTTCACTCAATTCACAAAAAAGGTTTTAAAAGAAGAGCATCATTGTCATAAAAGACAGATGATGACAAGAGACTTAAGATGTCTGTTTGAAGACCATGGTATGCCTGGCCCAAGGAATGGTAATTTCAATCACCTCATATGCATGTGGAAAGTTGGACACTGAGTAGAGAAGACCAAAGAAGAATTGATGCATTTGAGTTATGGTGTTGGAGGAGAATATTAAAAGTACCATGGACTACCAAATGAAGAAACAAGCTTGTGCTGAAAGAAGCCAGGATGGCAAGACTTCATCTCTTATACTTTGGGCATATTATCAGAAGGGACCAGTCTCTGGAGAAGGACACCATGATTGGTAAAGGTGGAGGGTCAGTGAAAAAGAAGACCCCTGATGAGATGGATGGGCACAGTGGCAGCAGCCCTGGGTTCAAGCATAGCAACGATTATGAAGGTGGTGCAGAATCAGGCAGTGTTTCAATTTGCTGTGTATAAGGTTGCTGAGTCGATCCTGACTCGACAGCATCTAATAACAACAAGAGACCTAACCTCTGAATGCAATGAATGGTCTTATCTACTTCTGTTACCATGAACATTATTGAGACTATAGGCAAAATGTGAACATGTTCTATAAGATAATAGGATTAAATGGACTAAATTGCTTGATTTTGATCATTGTACTAGTTATGTAATGGATTCTCTTTTTTAGAAAAGACATACTGAAGTACTTAGAGATAACGGGGAATGTCTGCAACTGAGTCAAAAGGTACCAAAAATATACATATAGTAGATTATAGAGAGAGCAAGAGAATTATAAAGGAAGTGGGATAAAATTCTAACTTTTAAGGGAATCTGGGTACTTACAAGTTTTCTATTAGTGTGAAGCTAATCAAAATAAAAAGTTAAAAAACAATCACATTCCAAGTCAAAATACCACATGCCAGTAAGATGCTATTTGGTGACTTCTGAACTCTGAGATCTTGGTACTGTCAGAAAATTTCCCCTCTTTACCCTTACAGTTTGTTCCTTTACCTCTATCTCTAGATCTTATTCTAGAAACAGGGCAAGAACTCTGCATCAGCCTGAGTATATGGAAGGACCTCACAGATGGAAGCCTAAAGCCAGTAGTACCACTGGGACTCACTAGAGTAGGGAGTGATGGCCCAGCTCAGAACTTGGTCTGCTGTGCCATGTGGAAGGTTGTGAGGAACATGGTTGGAATGCGGCCATTCCAGGTGTCAAGGCAATGGCTGTCTGGTGCCTGAGGAAAACAGGAGCTCTTTTCTGTTGTTTCTCCAACAAAGTATATCTGTAGATTAATCACCAACCTCACACACAACAGCATGATTCTCTTCATCTTGGGCCTCTATAAGTTCAGCCAGGAAGAATTCACCATAGGTTTCTTTCAGAATTGTATCATGGCGCATAAATATTGGCATGAGATCATCATGATCTTCCACCCTGTTAAAAAGAAAGGCTTAAGTTCAATGTTCATTCATTCATTTGCTCCTTAAACTGTGCAACTACTACGTGCCAAATCCTAATCAGAATGCTTGGGACACAGTACATCCTAATGGAGTACATTCTAATGGAGAATTAAACAACAACAACAAAAGATCACTGCAAACATTTCAAATAGTATTGTTGTTTTTGTTGTCAGGTGCCATCGAGTTAGAACTGACTCATAGCAACCCCATGCACAGTGGAACGAAACAATGTCCGATCCTGGGCCAACCTCACAACTGCTGCCACACTTGATGCCATCAATGATGCCACCTGGCTGATCCATCTCGTTGGGGGTCTTCCTCTTTTTCTC